TACTTAGCCAACGTGTTTTGGAAGAGGTGGTTGAAGGAGTATTTGCCTTGTTTACAAACCCGTCAGAAATGGCTAAAGGAGCATCGCAATTTTCAGAAAGGAGACGTCGTCATTGTCACCTCGGATCTTACTACGCGTGGAAAATGGCCCTTAGGAATAGTAGAGGATTGCGAGACAGATAAGGACGGAAGGGTCCGAACAGTAGTCGTTCGTACTAATAATGGGGTAGCGAGAAGAGACATACGAAGAGTGTGTCTCCTAGAAGGGTCCAACTAGACAGGTCATATCCACATTGGGATGGCGGGTGGGCGTACTGCTGTAAGTCCTACACGTTATTCCGGTGTGGATTAGGGGATAACATGGGAACCCTAAATAAGGTGTCATTAACGCTTGCTGTTTTTGCATGGAGGGATTTTGCGGGCCGGTGTAGAATTCTTTTTGAATGTTTTGTGTTTTGGAAAATCCCTCCATGTTTACATATTTTTGCTATGACATGATGGACCTTTTCTCTTGACATTTTTGGTATTTTATTTGATTCCAATTTGAGATTTTACCATTGTATGTTGTTATTCTTTCCATATTTTGTACTTATATTGAAGTTTTTGTGTTTGCTTTTGAACTGTACATATATTGTTTAAATTTGATATAATATGGCTACCGCCACATTTTTGGATAGACGCGGTGGCTGCTGGACTTAGTGTCACTTACTAGCTATTGTAATAGATACTCTACGGAGTAATTTAGTCCTGGAAGAAACAAAAATACCGTAAGCCTCTGTATTTCCATTTTATAACAATATAGAGACGTTTTCTCCTAGAAATTTTGACCTTTTGATTTGGCTGGGACCTGGAACTAGGAGGAACGTACAGGAGTGTTTCTATTGGAAACAATTAGGACAGCCACTGTCGAAATAAATCTACAGGCGTCGGTGGCAATAGCTTTAGCTATAGTGATGGCAGTACTGAGAATGCTAACATTCGGTACCCTAGGTGCAATGAGGAGTCATCTAGGTTTAATGGACATGCTGTTGTTTTGAATATGCAGCATGAGGAATCAAGCGTGGAATTGTCCACCTGTCGCACTTCACCATCATTGACTCGTACTACAGGTATCGGGATGAGCACTACCAACAGTGATAAGATAGAAGAGGTTAAGAGCATTCCTGGTAATGAAAGTATTGTTGATCGAGTAAAGTTGGATACTGTGTATGAGTCGACTGGTCATCATGAGAAGTGTATTGCTACTTGTACAGATGCGACTACCAATGATAATAGCATTGGTAGTACGGCGGGTAATAGTGATCTATGGAAGTTAAAGGACGCTCATCGTCGTCGAAATGATCGTACGTTACGCTTGCATACTGCCACCCAAGCTAAGAAGCATAAGAAACAACATGATGCTACTAATATTAAGAAGTGTAAACTTCGTTCTCTTTCGGATGCTATGACTAGCAATAGAAGTAGTAGTCATCAGAACCTTAGTATTGACAGTGATAATAAGGAGATAGAAAGTGTCAGCAGTCCACTTATAGTGACTAGTTTATCAACTTCATCGAATGAGCCTCCTAGTGTTTCGACGTCATCGGACCTCGTCACGAATGTTAAGTTGATTGAAGATGCACAAGGTTGTGCAACTGTAACTGTTCCTATTCCGGTTGACTGTCAGTCGAGTGATGATGAGAAGAAAGTGTTTGATGGTAACAGCCAGTCTACAGTGTTGTGTGATGACGATGCTATTGATGAGCATATGTCTTGTGTCTCTGAAACGGATGCTAATGCTGACCGAATCGACGCGTCTTGTCTGACAGAACGGAATCATGATGACGTTGATAATAATCTGGATGTCACTGATGTGACAACTGAGTTACCGACGATGACGAATACTGACCAAACCTCCTTTGTATCAGGAGATGGAAAGATAAATATTGATCCCACGTCATGCTACTTAAAGTCTTCTGGAGACGATGAAATGTCAAGATTGGACATCCCACCCTTGCATATTATCTACGGGTCAAGAATTTCTGTTGATAAGTTAGCATCACGGACTTCATTGTATCTGCTGATCGGAGCAAGTGGTGGTGGATTGGCGACTCGTCCCCATGATAGAGAATGTAGTCTTTGGATAGGATATGACCAGTTTTACGACGTGTTGTACATGTTCGTGTGGGTTAATTGGATAAGGTTTATACTACCGTTAGGTCATGCTACGATAGATAGGGGGATCAAGGGCCTGATGGGAATGTACAGGTTCATAGTTTGATAGGTCATATCCATGTTGGAGGGCGGGTAGGCGTACTGCTGTAAGTCCTACTCGTTCTTCCGGTGTGGATTAGGGGATGAGAGTGAACCGTAAATTGAAGTGTTAGAAAGGGCTTGTTTTGCTTAGAGGGATATTGTGGGCCGGTGTAGAATTTATATTGAATGTTTGTTGTTGATTGCTTGTGATGCACATACTTGGATTGTTGTTATATATTTTGTCGGTGAAAAGAACCAAGGTTCTTTTGGTCGGGAGTGTTACGGGAGAAACGAAGACATTTTGCTGATCAAAACCTTCATGTATAAATATCATTAATTTCACTGTTTTGGGGTACATTTGTTTTACTTAACTTGTGAACTTGTTTGAATTATTATTTGCGGACATTTTGGACTCCCGTTTCTCTTTGTTGTTCGTTTGCAGTTTTTTGCTCCAAGAGCTAATAAATTAGAAGGTAATTGTAATTATTATAATTATTGTTGTTAGAACGACATTGGTCGTCTATTTGTAATACAGTATTTTGGTCGAATTTGTGATTTGGAATAAACTTTGGTATCTACTTTGGAGTTTCGTTCTTGGTTTAAACATTTGGGGACTGTGAATTACAAATAGCTCGACAACCGTGCTTCGTAAGATCAACGAGCAAAAAACTGGACCTAACAATGTAATAAAGCTAGAATCCTGGCTTGAAAACTGAACAGGTAAAACCACAGATAACTACCAGTTACAATAAAACTGAAATTGAAAGCAATCTACCAAACAAAAAGTTCAGAATGGCACTTTTGTTGCCTAAGATCACGGTAAGAGCTTGCGGAAAGAGAATCACGTTTGCTCATTTTATATTTCAACAACATACAACTAGTAACAATTAAATGTGGACATGGTTTTTATTTATTTACCCGCTTGTTACATTTTTTAACATACTATATATTATGATGCATTCCCAATGTAATGATAAAGAACTCAATAACAAATTATGTTTTGGTAAGTAACTCCCAAAGACGAATAATTTTTCGAACTTTTGGTACTGATAATGGCCCAATCGATCATCGCAAATGCTACCAGCTCAAGGCGGCTGGTCGAGCGAATCGGCCATATCAGAACACCTTGTGAGACGTGTAGTAGTTGGGATGGTTGCCAAGTTTAAACTCCCAAACGAATTTAAACCAGAAATCCAAATATAGAATATCCTTAATTTATTATTCTAGAAGCCTCACTTTCATCTAACCCGGTTCGCTTCAAATCAAAATTTCCCTTCTAAACACTGCCATTTTCACCCCCCTTTTTACTCTATGTCATCAGCAGGTCATCCAGAAATCAGTGTTGTTTGCTTTACAGTTCAGTGAAAGCTGATGTTGGATAAACTTTCCATGTCATGTCAGAGGAAAAGGTACCTGTACTGTCGAATATTCAGAGAGATTTTCATAGCATTCACTGCGACAATAGCCGTTCAGCTTCTATGAGAACACTAAATACTTCACTTTCTGCATTCGCCATGGATGTGATCTGATTGAACTGGCTTACAAAGGCCACGAAGTACGCTGTTATCATCGGTAGTGACTCTACACTTATGAAGAGGATGCGATCGGGTTAATAGAAATATTCATCATTATAACTAGTTGTATCAGCGATTGTTGTACTGAGCCTCTTTGTTTATTACTACTCTATGCCATATCGGTTAAACTGTCTCTGTAATTTGGCCTCTCTTTTCTGGAACGATTTCGGTATTTCTTCAATACCACGAAATCGCCAGCAAATATATTCTTTTATATGGATCAACGTTTTTTCTCTGTGACGGGCATGTAATTGGTCTGCAGTGGTGATCTTAGTCAATCTCGACTCGACGCGCCTCTACACATCTAAACCTAATCACTGTCAAACGTTACCATTACACAGAGTAACCCGTGTAATCACCGAATGAATCTTTGACTTAACTGCATGATGGATTAAAAATCGCGAAAACCAGTAAAAATAACCTTTGCCTTCAGATTAAATGTATCTATTCGTAAGTCAAATTGTATTTGAACATTAGACGTTATTATCAGTTCGTACACACAATCTTGCTACAGGACGAGCCCCATTAGACAAGTGTGTCCCAAAATAATCGGTATACAGTCAGTCTTAATTACCAAAAACTACCCACCTGACAACCACTGAGTTGACTGCTATGAGGCTAGGACTGTTACATAAACCGGAAAGGTCGAGGAAGTTATAAGAACTTAAGAGAAAGACAAAAAGTAACATCGGAGTCAGTTTACTCCGAAATATACAACTACACACATTATGCAGTATGAGTAATAAAGTTATAGTACTTTCCGATCGGAACGCGTCGGTGAGACGATATGTAAATCTAACTTCAGCATTTTGTAAGTTTGCGGTTAGTCAAAGGTACTTTGTGAGTAAATATTTTCCGCTCATGCAGTCTAGAAAATAGTCTAATTGTTGCATTTTGCACTTAGTTCTGAATGTAACGTATGTTTCGCTTTGAGCCAGAAGGTACCGTGTGTGCCGGTGGGTTGTTAGGACTAGTATGTTATATAATGTGGAATAGGAAAGAACATGAGATTAATCGATCCCATGACTTACTAAGTACGTTAAATACATTTATATTTAATACAGAAAGAATCCAAAAACCATCAGAAATGATACAAACATGAGTTTACTACAAGCTGATTATGGAAACTAGTATTCGTTAGATTAAGATTTCGAACGTATTACATGAATATACCTGTGTTAATGGCTGCTGGGCAGTTTGATCTACAACTATTAGATACATAAGCCTGTTGAGAGGAAGCCCAATTTATTCAGTCCACAATCATTGCAAATAAGTTATGAAATCGTTTGTTAACACTGTTATTGGCTAGCGCCAGTTCCGAACTCAGGCAAGTGGGCGTCAGTTTTTATGTTGATGCCATGTAAAAACTGTGAATTAATGATTAACCCTTTATATGTTAAGTTATCCCTTAAGCTAAAGTGTAAATATTAACTTCACATATAGGGAACCATACTGGTGTTCAGATAAGGTTGTAGTTCCTATCAACATGCTCAACTACTCCACTACCTACAACTAGTTCAGGTACCGATTGAAGCCAAACCTTCAAACAACATTTCGCATATGGAGAGGGAGAATCGCATCCCGAACATGCCTGCATTTTTGCTTAGGGTGGTCAGAAGACTGAATTTTGTCAACATCTCCATCAAGTAGAACTATGTCATCGGCATATTCTAAGTCAGCAAACAAATCTCATGAAAAGTCAGACGAAATCTTCGTCTTTAAAAGCGTGTCAATGACATAGTTGAATAAGGATGGAGAATGTGGACAGCCTTGACGAACATCACTTGAAGTAGTCAATCCTATAACAGTTCGTCTTAAGCTCTGACTTGACCGACTTGGAAAACATGTACAAGGTTAATGTACTTCTTTGGTACATCTTAAAATAATAGACACGCATACAGCCTCACGATCGACAGAGTCCAATGCCACTCTAAGGTCTAGGAAGACAACTATTGTCGGACGTCTAAATGTGTCTGTTCTAGATTTGACGAAGCAGCTACGAAGGGGAGTAATAGGATTAGTTAGGAAGTATTGTGCCAAACTCCAAGACATTCAATCTCAAATGGGATTGGTTCTTCTATTAATTATAGTCTCGCTTAACAATATGCAAGTTTTTCTTTACTTTCAACCTCGCTCAATGTCTAAGTTTCTAATTCTGATCGGTACGTTCAAAGCTGTCAGCATGCTATATTTCCACCTTTACTCCTCACTGCGGACATAAATAAAACTAATGTACGGTCATTAAGTCTTGTGAAAATACTGGGTTTTAGTTTAAATTCCAACATGTTGTATGGACAGATTCAACGCAGAACTTCGTACGTAAGTATATCAGTTCAGGTTGCCATGCCCCATCAGCACAGAAACGCAACTGTCAGTTCAAATCCAAGAATGGTAGCAATAATAGTAGTATTAGCAGTAATGGAGATTAGGGAGCAAAGATATGATTCGAGAAGTATAAGCCAGTAAGATAAATTTAGAAGGAGAAAGATAGAGAGTATGAGGAATTCAGAAGGTTAGAATTAAAAAGTACACAAAGAGTGGATGCACGTACGCCATTGCAAACGATTCTGAGCCATGTCATTCAAGGTCTCTAACCATCGGTGATTATCGTCTCGCGGACCCCAACCAGGTAGCCTACATCTACCAATACGACTCAGTCCACTTGTCAGTGACTTCATGGATTTGTGCCATGTTTTGGCTTGGCCGCCCCTAGCTTTCTTCCAACCTACTCCCACATCACAAAACATCGCTCTTCGAGGCAGTCGGTGGTTGGGCATTCGTAACACATGTCCCAACCACCTCAACTGATGAAGTCTCACTACTTCATCTATTGATTTGCCATCCCTACCTAGAACTCGTTTCCTAACGACAGCATTGCATATACGGTTGTCCCATGATACACGAGCAATGCTTCGGAGACATCGACGATCGAAGACTAGTAACCTACGGAAGTCCTCTACTCTTAACGGCCAAGTCTCGTATCCGTACAGTAGGACGGAGCGAACTACTGCACAGTACACTCGTCCTTTAGTCAGCAAACGGATATCTCACCTGCGCCATAAGTGACGCAGGTTGGCAAAAGCCAATCGAGCCTTCTGTATCCGTGCCGAGATTTCGTCAGTCACCAGGCCATCAGCACTGATGAGACTCCCAAGATAAGTGAAGCGGTCTACACGTTCGACCACTTCACTCCCTATCACTAGTTCAGGTGCCGATGCAACCCAATCTTGAAGCAACATTTTGCATTTCGAGGGGGAAAACCGCATCCCGAACATGCTTGCATTGTTGCTTAGGGTAGTCAGAAGACTCTGCATTTTGTCAGCGTCTTCACCAAGTAGGACAATGTCATCGGCATATTCTAAGTCAATAAGCGAGCCACCTGGTAAAAGGTCTACTCCTGAAAATTCAGACGAGGATAAGGTTATTTCTAGGAGCATGTCTATGATAAAATTAAACAGGAATGGAGAGAGTGGACATCCCTGACGGACACCACTTGAAGTAGAGAATTCCGGTGACAGTTCGCCATAAGCTCTCACTCGACCAGTGGTGTTTGAGTAGAGAGCTTGTATGAGGTTAATGTACCTCCTTGGTACACCTTTCAATGACAGACACTGCCACAGAACCTCACGATCCACTGAGTCGAATGCCGCCTTAAGGTCCAGGAAAACAACTATTGTAGGACGCGTAAATGTGTGTCTGTGTTCCAGGACCTGTCTGAGTGTGAAGACGTGGTCTATACAACCACGTCCAGGTCGAAAAATCAGCCTGGTTTTCTCGAGTCTGCTCTTCACGAGCACTAGTAAGGCATCTAAGTATAATGCAGGCTAACAATTTAGAAACTATATTAGACTTATCCTCCTGTGATTGTCACAAGAAGACTTTTGTCCTTTCTCATAAATTGGAACAATCAGTGATTGAAACCAGTCAGATGGGATTACGTCCAGTTCCCAGATTCTACCTAAGATCTCAGTCAACCTAGCTGCTAAAACTGGACCACCATCCTTAAATATATCGGGTCAGTCTATCAGGACCTGCAGCTCGCCCTCGCTCCAGATTTCCTAACGCTTTCTCAACTTCGTAAAGCCTAGGAGGGCTTACGTCGATTTGCCATTGAGGATTACTGGAGATCGTGGGTAACCAAAGAGTGGCTCGACGCCAGTTGAACTGATTCCTAAAGTGTTCTGCCCATCGATCCAGTCTCATGGATTGAGGATAAATAATGGTCCCATCATTTTCCGTGATAGTCTCACTTACACTAGGATTCCTATTACCAGTTTCCTTGATAAGTCGGAAAAGTTGTCTACTGTTGCCGATCGCCACTGCCTTTTCCATCTCTTTTGCTTTCGCCACCCACCACTGTTCACGGTCGTTGCGCAGGCTTTTTATCAGCCTGCGCTTAAGCTGACTTTGTTCTTCATTATGTTCAGAGCCAGGTGTGATGAGTTTTCGGGCATCCATCAGTTCGGTGGATGCCACAGAGATCGATGGCTTCATTCTAGTCTAATGGTTAACCTTACTAGCAGATATCACTGCTGTTTCCACAGCCTTCTTGATATCATTCCAAGCTGTTTCCGGATGGGAATCGCTTACATCGTTGCCTAACTCTTTTTGTAGTTGTTCCTGAAACATATTCTTCGCCCTATTATCATTAAGTAAAACCCTAAGAGGCTTTCTTACGGTGTCTTTCCTACGCCCAGTAAGCCTCAAACAAATACGAGCTCGCACTAGAGCATGATCTGAATCTAAACATGTGCCCCAGAACGAGCGACAGTCCTCTATCGAACCCCTCCATCGGTGGCTGATGGCGATGTGATCTGGTTGGATCCAACGTTGAGACGACTTCAGGGGTCGCCAGGTCAAAAGGTGCTTTTCCTTATGCTTAAAATTAGTGTTTGCTAGAAATAGGCGGTTATCTGAGCACAGTTGCAACAGACGGTCGTCATTACCTGTTATCTGAGCCGCGACACCATAACACCCACCCAGCTGTCTTTCATTTTCACTTAGTCTACCTACCTGAGCATTAAAGTCACCAGCCATTATTACTATGTCAGAGCGCCTAGCTTTTTGGCGGAGTTCCGAAAGCTTTCTGTAGAACTCGTCTGAACTGCAGTCAGTGGGGGCACATGCAGATACGACGGGTGTCCCTATCTTTCCGAGTCCTTACTGTCCCGTTCAGTTGGACGGCGCACAAACGACTATCTACTGGGATCCAGTCTAGGAGCACTAGTTCTGCCCTACGACTCAATGCTATACCTACAGCGAGACCCAGGGAAGCAGCATCGGGGCTACCGAATACACGAAGAGTAAATTGGGATCCTTCTTTGTTTTGACAAGGCGAAATCAGATTAATGATTTCACTAGGATCCTGTATGCGCGTTTCCGAGACGCAGCATACATCGATGGCGCGAGATTCTAAAGTTCTAGCTAACGAAGCCTGTTGCCTTATTTGACATAATGTACGTACATTAAATGCTCCAACATGTAGTCTAGAATGGTGTTTCAGGAGACCAGAAATGACGTTTTGTGAACTCTCATTGTTTGCATTAGCTATGCAGTGTGGTAAAGGAATGTAAAAAGAGTTAGTCGTGGAGATAAGAGAGGTACTAGGGGGTGTAACAAGGATTTGATTTTGACCAATTTGGTCTCTCGTGCTGTTACGGGTATGAGGGCGGTTGTCACTTCCCGGCTGCCCAAACCGTGGAAGGTTGTTACTTGAGGGACCTGAAAAGGAAGATAGATTAGTGTTGGTCTTAGAGACCTGGGTGCGTGACCGCAGAGCCCAAGGGAAAATTGCTTGAGGCCGGTCACGCACGGCCTTTTTATGAAGGGTTTTTTGAGTATTAGTTCCGCTCTTGGAATCCCTTAGTGGTTCACCCTTACCGCCGGAGACGGAAATCCGTGAAATAAGGAGAGGTGTGACATTTTTAGGGTCGACCTTTTCTAACCCTTCCTTCCTTGTGAGAAGGCAGCATCGCTGCAGATGCTGGTTGTCCGAGGGAAACACCTTACTGCTGTCATACCCCTCTACGGTCAGTAGTAGGACTTCGCCCTCAGGCCTTGAGTAGCTGCTCTTAGTCTGATCGTTCTCCAGTCGACCTGCCTGACATCGTAAAACCTTCAGGAACATAAGTTCCAGCCAATATAGCTCGGCTGGGTCATCACGATAGTCAAGCCCAACCATCACGTCAAGGTAGCAGCTACGGTCGGGACATATTGTATGGAATTAAGCAGAATTCACTGAACGACCAAAGAAATAAAGACAATCTGGCGGATACCTCATTTCTTTTGTGAAAGTCTTAGGGATTTGCCTGCAGTTAATATTTCACTAAATGCCCCGTTGAGTTAATGGGATTTCCCCATGGTATGTGGAAATTAGTTGTAAGTGTTGTGATCCTTCAAGCAGTGATTTTGATGAAAAGCCTCAGAACAATATGAATTCTTTACATTTCCCTCGATTTCTAATAAGATCTTTACTAAACGGCTCAGCCTTTCATGTACGTTGTATGTTCTAGAACTTTTATTTTGAAAATGATAATCATTAAATCATAGCCGCACACAAAACGAAATTAAATTAATGGGTAAAGTGTATTTGTGTAAATCCAAAAGATCTTCAAATCATTCTTTTAGTTTCCTATCTGTTGTCAATACAGGTCTAACTGAAAATCTCGTATGCTCAAAATACACTATTACTTAGTTACTGAGTCATGTAATCCTTTAAACCTAGTTTAAATCAGATTAATTTATTTTCCAAAAAATAAGCTATTTATTTATTATCAGTGTCATTCAGCAGTCGTCAGTTTTCCAAACTCCAGCCAATATTCTTTCACTTGTCGCATTATACACTGGCCTTTTACAGCTTTCAATATTTTGCTGTACATTGTATGGATATGATTACGCATTTTAGTTCACTCCAGGATATCCAAAGTACCAACTGGCTCCTCTATTATCAACTTGGTTTATTCAAGTACTTGTGGTGTAGCCAGTAAAGTTTAGGAGTCAATAAAATTATCACAAGGCCAAATCAGTCTTATTTAAAATGGTAGCGTTCAGGTTTTATCATGATTAAAGGAGTACTTCTAACTATGCTCCTGTATCAGCTACTCAAAACAAAACACTATTATATCAGTTAACATTGGCTGACCAGCCAAAACTAGTATCCTGTTTATTTATTTCCAAGGCACAGTTTAACCACGACATCACGTTCGGAGTCTTTTGGTTTTGGAAGCAAGATGCGCATGTGGTTTTTAAGGGGTTTCTGAGTTATAGAAAACTGTCTTCCACACTTTGGTTCCGAGGGATCGATTTTAGATAACATAGATGAGTTTTCGTGTCAGAGGTAATTAGGTTTTACGGTACGTACGTATTTTCCATAACATGGCAAGCATTTAGTTTTCCATACTTGGGTCTTGGCATTGATAAAAATATACCTTTCTTGCAGACAATGACTTCGAACCTTGAGTTATTTAATTTAATGGACAACTTCTTGCCGTCAGATAAGTGCTTACTAGTGAATGACTTGGGGTGTCCCTTTTATGGTAGCAGGTATGAATTACATTGCTTAACAACAATCCATACAGTAGTGTTTTTTGTCCAGATTCAGCATGCACTTGTGTTACTGATGATCTACAATTGATGGGACAGCATTACACAACTTGTCATAGTCACTCATGTTCACTCTGTGGTTTAAGTTTCATATCCTCGCGGCTTCTTTCGACACATGAACAAATCGCTCACAGTGGACCTTTCAGATCGAAGGTAAATGCATGAGCAGCGGTTTAGCCATTGGATTTCAGCTGGACTGTTTTCTCACTGTGTGTCCTCAGAAGTTTGCTGACTGTGCGAAACTCTCCTCGCATGCTTATGATTGCCATGGGCTTCTTCCCGACTCACCAGTGCTTACAGGTGCAATGATAGGTATTGAGAATCGGGATTCTAAGAAAGTTGTAAGAATTTTTTGTGTACTTTGTATTGAATACACTTAATGGCTTTTATCTTAATGATAGGTTCCAACCAACTAGCTCTTTGTTTTACAAAAACAGAATAAAAAATCAATTAGAACCTTAAATAACGGTCATGAAGCTAAAGAGTATCTCTCTGTCCAGCGTTGGGTTAAAATTATTTCAGTATTTGTCCCACTAGTTTTTCAAAGTACATTATACGACGCGCAGACATGTTGGAGGTTAAAGTTGTGAGTTACCCGAGAGCAACTTGATAAAATGAGATATGGAAAATGGTGTAATTCGTACACCAGTAAATATAAACATAATCATTTAATTCAAGAACTCAAATTAATATATTTCAGTGAGCAACACTGTTATTAGGAAACAGGTGCTAGGTAAGAATGGCAGATCAATAGATGAAGTAATGAAACTTCATCAGTTGAGGTGGTTGGGACATGTGCTGCGTATGCCTAACCACCGACTGCCTCGACGAGCTTTGTTTTGTAGTGTAGGAGTAGGTTAGAAGAAAGTTAGGGGCGGCCAGACCAAACATGGCAGCAATCCATGAAGTCATTGACAAGTGGTGTTATTTCGGTAGATTTAGGCTACCTGGTTGGGGTCCGCGAGATGATAATAATCGATGGTTAGATACCCTGAATGACATGGCTCAAAACCGTTTGCAGTGGCACCAGTGCATTTATTCTTTGTGTTCTCTCAAACCCTAATCTTCTGGATTCTTCAACATCTCTAGTTCTGTCTTTCTAAACTTATCCCGCTAAATCATAATTCTTGAATAATATCTTTTAATCCTAACCTCTCCGATTACTTCTAATACCTTTATTACCTATACTACTGTTCGGTTTCAATTGACAATTATATCTCTGTGCTCATGTGGTATGGCAACATGAACTGATGTACGTAAGTACGAAGTTCTACCTTCCTATTGACTGATTGATCGATAAATACGAATGCTGTATTGTGTGAATATTACTGCTTTCTTAGTTGTGTGAATGTTGTTTGCACTCAGTATTCCCTAGTTGGACGAGTGCCATAATGAGTTTCGGACAATTTCGCAGGTTGTGTTTGTACAACCTGATAACCGTCCGTATAATTATGAATGCTGTATTGTGTGAATATTACTGCTTTCTTAGTTGTGTGAATGTTGTTTGCACTCAGTATTCCCTAGTTGGACGAGTGCCATAATGAGTTTCGGACAATTTCGCAGGTTGTGTTTGTACAACCTGATAACCGTCCGTATAATTATGAATGCTGTATTGTGTGAATATTACTGCTTTCTTAGTTGTGTGAATGTTGTTTGCACTCAGTATTCCCTAGTTGGACGAGTGCCATAATGAGTTTCGGACAATTTCGCAGGTTGTGTTTGTACAACCTGATAACCGTCCGTATAATTATGAATGCTGTATTGTGTGAATACTACTGCTTTCTTAGTTGTGTGAATGTTGTTTGCTGGCGCCAGTGCATTTATTCTCTGTGTTCTCTCAAATGCTATTCTTCTGGATTCTTCAACCCCTCTAGTTTTGACTCTCTAAACTTTTCTCACTGAATCATACTTCTTGAGTAGTATCTTCTAATCTTAGTTGTGTGAATGTTGTTGCACTCAGTATTCCTAGTTGGACGAGTGCCATAATGAGTTTCGGACAATTTCGCAGGTTGTGTTTGTACAACCTGATAACCGTCCGTATAATTATGAATGCTGTATTGTGTGAATATTACTGCTTTCTTAGTTGTGTGAATGTTGTTTGCACTCAGTATTCCCTAGTTGGACGAGTGCCATAATGAGTTTCGGACAATTTCGCAGGTTGTGTCTGTACAACCTGATAACCGTCCGTATAATTATGAATGCTGTATTGTGTGAATATTACTGCTTTCTTAGTTGTGTGAATGTTGTTTGCACTCAGTATTCCCTAGTTGGACGAGTGCCATAATGAGTTTCGGACAATTTCGCAGGTTGTGTCTGTACAACCTGATAACCGTCCGTATAATTATGAATGCTGTATTGTGTGAATACTACTGCTTTCTTAGTTGTGTGAATGTTGTTTGCACTCAGTATTCCCTAGTTGGACGAGTGCCATAATGAGTTTCGGACAATTTCGCAGGTTGTGTCTGTACAACCTGATAACCGTCCGTATAATTATGAATGCTGTATTGTGTGAATACTACTGCTTTCTTAGTTGTGTGAATGTTGTTTGCACTCAGTATTCCCTAGTTGGACGAGTGCCATAATGAGTTTCGGACAATTTCGCAGGTTGTGTTTGTACAACCTGATAACCGTCCGTATAATTATGAATGCTGTATTGTGTGAATACTACTGCTTTCTTAGTTGTGTGAATGTTGTTTGCACTCAGTATTCCCTAGTTGGACGAGTGCCATAATGAGTTTCGGACAATTTCGCAGGTTGTGTCTGTACAACCTGATAACCGTCCGTATAATTATGAATGCTGTATTGTGTGAATATTACTGCTTTCTTAGTTGTGTGAATGTTGTTTGCACTCAGTATTCCCTAGTTGGACGAGTGCCATAATGAGTTTCGGACAATTTCGCAGGTTGTGTCTGTACAACCTGATAACCGTCCGTATAATTATGAATGCTGTATTGTGTGAATACTACTGCTTTCTTAGTTGTGTGAATGTTGTTTGCACTCAGTATTCCCTAGTTGGACGAGTGCCATAATGAGTTTCGGACAATTTCGCAGGTTGTGTCTGTACAACCTGATAACCGTCCGTATAATTATGAATGCTGTATTGTGTGAATACTACTGCTTTCTTAGTTGTGTGAATGTTGTTTGCACTCAGTATTCCCTAGTTGGACGAGTGCCATAATGAGTTTCGGACAATTTCGCAGGTTGTGTCTGTACAACCTGATAACCGTCCGTATAATTATGAATGCTGTATTGTGTGAATACTACTGCTTTCTTAGTTGTGTGAATGTTGTTTGCACTCAGTATTCCCTAGTTGGACGAGTGCCATAATGAGTTTCGGACAATTTCGCAGGTTGTGTCTGTACAACCTGATAACCGTCCGTATAATTATGAATGCTGTATTGTGTGAATACTACTGCTTTCTTAGTTGTGTGAATGTTGTTTGCACTCAGTATTCCCTAGTTGGACGAGTGCCATAATGAGTTTCGGACAATTTCGCAGGTTGTGTTTGTACAACCTGATAACCGTCCGTATAATTATGAATGCTGTATTGTGTGAATACTACTGCTTTCTTAGTTGTGTGAATGTTGTTTGCACTCAGTATTCCCTAGTTGGACGAGTGCCATAATGAGTTTCGGACAATTTCGCAGGTTATGTCTCTTCAACTTAACAATCTTTCTTGAAGGGTTTTAATCAGCCACTACCTAGAATTTCTTACGTCAGCGCAGCTTGGCGTATCACATTATTGCAGAAACGCTATTATCAATCCAAATCTCATTTTGCTCGAGGTAGTAGAACTGGTAGCATTAATCTGAGGAATTGCAGGTAGACGACAACTGCTTGAGGCTGGTCACACGGCCTTTTCAAGAAAGGTTTTTTGAGTATTAGCTCCGCTCTTTTAAAGCCCTTAGTGAGCACCTTTACCGCCGGAAAAGGAAATCCGTGAGGTAGGGTGAGGTGTGACATTTTTAGAGTCGACCTTTTTTAACCCCTTCCTTCCTTATGGGAAGGCAGCATCGTTACAGATTCTTGTTGTCCCAAGAAAACAACCTACTGCTGTCACACCCCTCTACAGTCAGCAGTACGACTTCGCCCTCAGACCTTGAACAGCTGCTTTTTGTCTCATCGTTCTCTAACCGACCTGCCTGGCATGGTAGAACCTTCAGGAATATTTGTTCCAGCCAATATAGCTCGGTTGGATCGTCACGATAGTCAAGCCCGGCCACCACGTCAAGGTAGCAGTTACGGTCTGGAATTTCATACAATCGCAAATGTCGAACTGTTTTTGTTTCCAGTTTTTTTTCTGTGTTCATATGTTGTTTTTGGTTATACTTGTATATATAATCCTAAAAGACTTATTTTTACTTTGCATTTTTGTAGTAACATTTCTTTAAATGCTATTAAATGGTGTAATGTATTTGCTTCTGCTTCTAGATGTCCGAATTTCATGTCCACCATTGGGATGAATCCGCTGATGGTCAACTCAGTTTGGAAAATATGCTCAAAAAGCTCAAGTCTGAGGTATTGTCAATTATTATTTATCCTCAGTTTTTGCATAATAGTGTAGTTGTTAAATTCTTTTGTTTACTGATTTCAGGGTTGCAGTTGCATTAATTACAAGTTCAGTCCTGGGACCAATTTTCCGGAGCACACTCATAACGAAGATAAACTAGACTGTATCGTCAGCGGTCAGCTCTCATTCAGTATGTATGGAAAGGAGATTATACTAGGTCCAGGTGATCTTTTAGAAGTTCCTCGCAACGTACCACATTCTGCTCATGTTGTAGGCAAAGATCCACTTGTATTTGTAGATGCTACACGAAAATCATAATGCTTCAAGATTTTATTTGTGGTTATTTTAATTTTATACTTTTTCTGTTTCTTGATGCATAATTCATAAATGTTGTCAATACAATAGTCAAAAGTACTTGGTATCTTTTTTTCAAGATCCTCCATGGGTATACTACACTCACTTCACGCTTTTGTGAATAATTAAAAAATCTGGATTACAAACGCTTTTACAGTTGCGATTTCAAAGAACAACATATTGCGACCGATCACTGGTATCTTTCGCAATGTAGGTATTATATTTTTAAGCTCTCTGGATCAATCATGTTGAAGACTTCATCCTGGGGACCAAGATTTACTGCTTTTGTTTTTTCCCGTTTCCCCAACAAGTCAATAACATTCAGATATCATGGAAAGATCGTTATAGTAATGCTTATTCGGGTCCTCACGTTAATACACATCGCGTACCCATTCATTCGGCTTGTTTCACCATAATATCTGTAATTTTTTTTGTAGCAATGTAATTTATTTTTGAATATGATCATTTCTGTCAAATTGATAGATGTGGAAAGTCGTAGACATATTTGAGATGTTGACGAATAATTGTAGCTTAGCACGATGGTTTTGAAATTCATGCTTGAACTATTCAGCTCTGAAAACCAAACACCGTCAAAAATTAGATTTATTTATTCGTACCCCTATGACAACGGAGTATTTGCTTGGTGGTCAAAGTACCGTTGTTAATTTCAAAATTGGTTCTCTATCTATTTTGATTTTGGGAATTAGTTTATGGCACCAGCCCTCATAATGTGTCTAAAGGCTGAGTACGTAAATTTATACGTGGTAATTGAGTTATATTAAATAACCACAGTGGTTCTTTAGGATTTCCGGGTTACCCCTTCCAATAGCTTAAATCATTGCTTTTACGAATAACTTCACTCTGAAAAACTGTGATAGACCTACCAGCCAAAGTGGATTTCTCGTCCTTCGTATCATAAAGTTCATTTCTAGTCCTATAAGGATAATGTTAACGTGATAGCCTTATTTACAATCGCCATTATTGCGTTTTGTAGTAAAATTGGAAGGATACAACATCTCGTCATTGATGCCTGTTTTGTCACTCAGTTACAAAGACACCAAAGTTAGGTATTTTTCCATAGTATTACTTATTCGGTAAGTCTACGGTTGACACGTTGGAAATGGAGTAAGTAATAATGTATATGAAGCAACCACCGTGTAGGAAACTGGCTAATTAAAAGATGAAGTTATCTTCATCTTCAAGTGTCCTGAATGTTCCATAGTGCATGTGAAACTATGCCATGCGACTTTTCAAAAGTTTGTTCTGTATAAAAACATGCGGTGGTTCTAGTACACTTTACAGATCGTCTTTACTATCCCATCTTTTCTTGTAACATCACATGTACTTCGCGGTAAACTTTGACGAAACGATGTACTTATTTACTGGTTATTAATCAACGAACTATAGACTTGCTGACTAGAAGGCTCAACGTGTTTGGAGTCAATGGCTCTAGATAGTACTCAAAGTAATCACAATATATATTCTGGAAATCAAAAAGATATACTCACTTTTCTGCTTCCCGTAAGCACGTGATAGATATATATTTCATGTTGACTGTTTCTTGTTAACAATTCCCTCTGAGACCTCTTTAGACTCCCGACCGTAGCTGCTACCTTGATGCGGAAGTCGGGCTTGCCTACTGGGGCAACCGAGCTAGATTAGCTAAAACACACGTCTCCTTAAACCTTACTATGCCAGATGGGTGGGTGTGACAGCATTAGGGTGTTTCCCTTGAACTACCAGCGTCTGCATCGCTGCTGCCACTAAAAATGTCACATTGTCCGGCAGTACGTACGTACGAAGTTCTGCGTTGTAACTGACTGACGTGCGTGACCGGCCTCAAGCCGTAATCCTTTCGGCTCTGTGGTCACGCTCCCAGGTTACTAACACAGCTTCTCTTTCAAGTCCCGCAAGGAATACTCTCCCATGGTATGAGCAACCGGGATGTAACAACCGTCTTTGTACCCCTAGCAGCACAAGGCCAAATCGCTCACTGTTGAATCATTTCCCCACCTCTTAATTACTCTCTTGTCTCCACAACTGATTCTTTAACAACTCACGCTGTTATTGGTAACGATTCCTGGTCTCCAGCAACCATGCTATAAACTGCATATTGGAGCTTTTGACGTTCGGAATTTGTGTCGAGAAAGGCAACGGGTTCCTTTAACTACGACTCTAGGACCTCGCGCCATTGATTGATGCATGCTACATCTCCAGAATGCGCATACAGAATCCAAATACATTCATTCATTTGACCTCATCGATATAAAGAACTAATGCGATTTACCCTTCGTGTATCTGGAGACTCTACTGCTGCTTTGCGTCACCTTTCTGATGTAGGCATAGCATTAAGTTCAGATTCAGAATTTGTTTTCTCCAGACTGGATCCCAGTTGACTCGCTTGTGCGCCATCCGTCTAAATGCAACATTAAGAACTCGGAAAGATAGGGATACTTGCCGTGACTTCATGAATTTGTATCATGTTTTAATTTAGCCGCCCCTAGCTTCCAGTCTACCCCTAAATCAGACAACATCGAGGTAGTCGGCGGTTGGGTATAAATAACACGTCCAAACCTCCTTAATTGATGAAGATTCAATACTTCATCGATTGATCTGCTATCCTTACCTAGTACCCTGTTCCTAACACCAGCATTACTTACTCAATGGGCCCAGGATATACAAGCAATGTTTCTAACACACATAACCGAGCACTAGTAACCTACGAGTATCCTCAATTCTTACTGGCTATGTTTCAAAGTCATAAAGAAAGAACTGCTGGGCAGTAAACCGGTTCTTTGATCAGTAGATGAGTATCCTGCCACGCTGTAAGTGACGTAACTTGGAAAAAGTCAGTTGAGCCTTGTGTACCCGTGACGAGATTTCGTCACATACCAGGCCGTCAGAGAAAAACAGACGGCCATGCAAATGATGTCCACCCGGAAGCAGCTTGGAGTGCAGTCCAGAAAGCTATAGAAATAGCGTTGATATCTCCAATATGTTTAATAGGGTCAGTGTATTTCAGTGGCATCTGCCGAAATGATAGATGTTCAGAAACTCAGTCCATCCAGCTTTGAATACGTTGAAAGGCAGAGGCAGCTCAAACATAGGCTGATGAGAAGCCTACGCAATGATCGCGAACAGTGGTGGGTAGCGAAAGCAAAGTCGATGGAAAAGAAAGCAGTGATATGTAACAGTAGACAGCTGTCCAGACTTACCAAGGAAACTAGTACTAGGAATCCGACTGTTAGCGAGACTATTCTGGGAAAAGGTGGGACTATCATTCATTCTCAATCCAGAAGATTCGATCGATGGGTAGAGTGCTTTAGGGAGCAGTTTAACTGGCCTTCAGCCACACTTCAGTTACCTACCATCTCCAGTCAACCTGAACGGCAAGTTGATATAAGGTCTCCAACTTTGAATGAGGGCGAAAAGGTTTTGGGCAATCTAAGGCGAGAAAGAGCAGCAAGCCATGACAAGTTAACCCCTGAGATTTTTAAGGATGGTGGTCCAGTTTTAGCAGTGAGATTGACTGATATCTTAACCAGAATCTGGGAAGTGGATGCGATCCCATCTGACTGATTGCAGTCACTGATTGTCCCGGTCCATAAGAAAGGACGAAAGTCCTCTCGTGATAAACACAGGAATAAGTTTAACTAATATTGTGTCCAAAACATTAACCTCGATAATACTTAGACGCCTAACTGGTGCTCGAGAAAACCAGGCTGGTTTCAAACCTGGACGTGGCTATATAGACCACATATTCACACTTCGACGGGTGCTAGGATACAGACACATTTCGGCGTCCGACAATAGTTGTCTTCCTAGACCTTAGAGTGGCATTGGACTCTGTCGATCGTGAGGTTCTATGCCAGTATCTGTCATTGTAAGATGTACCAAAGAAGTACATTAACCTTGTACATGTTTTCCACTCCAACACCACTCGGTCAAGTCAGAGCTTATGACGAACTGTTATAGGATTGACTACTTCAAGTGGTGTTCGTCAAGGCTGTCCACATTCTCCATCCTTATTCAACTATGTCATTGACATGCTTTTAAAGACGAAGATTTCATCGTCTGACTTTTCATGAGATTTGTTTGTTGACTTAGAATATGCCGATGACATAGTTCTACTTGATGGAGATGTTAAAAAAGTTCAGCCTTCTGACCACCCTAAGCAACAATGCAAGCATTTTTGGAATGCGATTCTCCTCTTCCAAATGCAAAATTTTGTTTGAGGGTTGGCTTGCATCGGTACCTGAACTAGTGATAGGGAGTGGAGTAGTTGAGCATGTTGACCGCCTCACTTATCTGGGGAGTCTCATTAGTGCTTATGCCCTGGTCTGGTATGTGACGAAATCTCGTGACACATACACAAGGCTCAATTGCCTTTGGCCGACTTGCGTCACTTATGGCGTGGCAGAGAACGAGTTTACTGCCCAGCAGTTCTCTCTGTCCTACTTTGTAGCTGTGAAACATGGCCAGTTAGAGTAGAAGCTATTTGTAGTGTATGTTGATGATGTAATGCTTTTTGTTGAATTCTCATCAAATTGTAGAGTTATCTGACTAACTTCAGCAACAATGAAAGAATGTTCCTCTTAACGGATTTAATTATTAATATCTATAATAAATTAGCTGAAATAATCGTAAATACAACCGTTATGAGAAACATGAAACACTAGAAAAGTCTTTTGATCAATTACGGTATAGTCATACGGATGAATTGCTTTGAGACACAATTTGAAGATTTGATCTTAGAGATGATTTTCGGTGAACATTTACATTCATTTAAATAACATTCATCATATGAGCCATTTGTGATACCAGCAGTGTAAATGTACTAATCATTCCTAAATCTCCAACTATTACTTGTATCCTGATGTTTGTTCACTAGAATTCCATCGTTTGTGTTTGTATGACGGTCTGTTTTTACTAATGGCGAGATTATTTGTTAGTCTGATTTCCGGGCACGTATTGTCAATATACAAATCTGGTGAACTACAACTAATACTATATTTTTTTAGACATATTTATAAAGTTGTCGTTTCTTGTCCACTAAACAGAATGAAAGATTTTGGCACTAAACTGCCTGATCTGTTGTCTTTGCTGTATTAAATGTAAGTGCTGTAAATGAGCGATTTAATTTTCATTTCACACCACAGATAGAAATAGTTCTTTTTTCGTTTCTTGTTTATATCACTGAATAGGCACTAATACTATCATATTATCACTGTAATTACTCTTTCTCTATTTATCTTATTTTATTATCAAAAATCTGTTTCCTCACAATATATAATTCTCATGAATTCATTTTGAAAGCTTGTAGGTCTTTGTGTAGCCTACAAATAAATTTGTATCATGTGCTTTGGCTGCCATTACTCTTGTTTTTTTTATATTTCTTAACCCACTCTTGTACAGGTATGTTCTTACTTAGACTGAATTTAATATATATAATTTGCTAGCTATATTACTGGCTACTTCAAGATTATTGTATTTTGATAATTAAATACTTTTATCATCATCATTGACGCATGACGATATTTTTTCATCAGTTATTTAGTATACATCATTAATTCTACTTATTGGTTGAATGACTTTCACTTTTGCTGCATGGAAAATATTATTCATATTCTTCAATATCTTTCTTTTCATTAATATATAACACCGTTAGATACCGGCTCAGTGTTCCAGAGTTTAGGCGTTCGCTCGCTAGACCGAAGGTCCTGGGTTCGAATCCTGCGAGCCCCAGGAGTCCTGGGTGCGCACAGCTGATGAGTCCCATACCAGGACGAAACGGCCGTCCAGTGCTTCCAGGTTTCTAGTGGTGGTCTAACATCGATCGATTCATGATTTCAAATGTATAACTAATGGTTTAATTGTTAAATTGACTTCATAAACATGATAATCGTTGATGTTATTTTAATTTGTTATAAAATCTCAACATTTTTCCTTGATACTATTATAACACTAAATAGTATCAGAGTAAAATATCTTAAATTTATTAAAAGCAAAGGAAACATAATGGCAAAAGTATATGTTTATATATGTATATGTATAATTGTAATTTGTACAAAAAAAATTCAAGTAAGAAACAATAAGGAAATCAACCTAATTAATAAGTACTATATACTGTCATTTTTAGTTTTCATCATGCCTTTTTTTTCTTATAGTTTATGTATGAGAATAAAAAGCAAGAAACAAAAAGAAGAAAACAGAAAATCATTGTGGAATCGAGCATGTCAGAGAAAAGAAAATAATTATCATTTATATCTTAATATAAAATGAGTTTAAATTTATAAGGCAATTCATTATGTACAATATATCCCACTAAGTGTGTTCAATGTTCAACACTGAAAGTTATTTTAACCTATTTTTTATAGCAAGAAGAGAATAGATAAACAATTGTATAAAGATTCTTTAAATAACCATTGCTTATAATCAAATAACCGATATGAACAGTAACTGTTTGGTATTAATTATTGTAGCATTGATAAGTATAAATTTATGATAAAAGCAATAGATCATTGAATACATGTCAATATTTTAAATTAATCACCGGCTAATTATGTAAAGAGTTATTAATTTTTTAGCATTCATTATATTCTTCTATTTGATAAGTTATGCAAATATTCTGTTATAATTGAAATATAGTGTTTCTGGTTTAATAGGCAAACACTTGCAGATTCATTTTGTATTTAATACAAATTGAATCATTTGATTGCTGTTTACATCAGGAAAAGTTAAACGAAATAATATCAGAAAAAGTTGATGAAGTATTTCAATAAAAAAGGTTAGACGTTGGACAAATAGAAAGCTAAACACAGTATACTGAGATGAAACCAAAAAAAAAATATATTATAACATGAAATAACTATGTATTTGATTAAACAGAAAAGGAAGATAAAATATTTTATTTGGCAAAGTTGGTGAATTTATTTCCTTTTCTTCAGTTACTATTGTTTGTTTAACTGTAGTATTCCATTCCTAAATCTCTAGTTTCTGAAATGCATGAAATTATTAATATAAAAATGTTTTGTAACTAGTTCACTGGTATCCATAGTTTGAAAATTAATTAGTAAATGGTTGATTTGTTTCAGTTTTTGTGTACTAATGAAATACGATTATTCAGTTGGAAGCAATTAAAAAGATTTTATGACTCAACAACGTATTTGTCCTTTCATTTTATAGGTTACTATGATTTATTATGTCTGACATTGGATCAAATAATTAATATGAAAGGCCATAATTATTTTGACTTCAATCAAAAGAATTATTTCTATAAGATAAATTAAATGTTTTCTTCTTTATTCAATGAAAATGTATGCGAATCAGTAATTGTAACTAGTTTTCTATTTGGAAATTTTCTTTGGATTTCATTGATTTCGTTTTGTTTTTATACTCTTCATTTGAATGACTCATAGGTTTTTTCGACTTTATTATTCCAATTTGTTGTTGAAGTAAAACAACAAGATCTGGACGATTAATTTTTTGTAAATAATTCATTAATTGGCCTAAATTCATTGTATTCTGTAAATATATATATTGAAACATTGAAACAGTCATTGTTAAATCATTTGTATGATTGTTTTTCATGGTTGATTGTATTGTAGTTGTGTTGTCTGGATTACATGATTGTAAATTTGATTCAACGGTAGTTTGAGCTTCTATAGCAGCCGATAATAAGTCCGATGTTACTTCTGAAGGTAATTGATCAAATTTACTAGTTTCTAAATCTATAGTGGATAGTGTAGAGAATAATAATAATAATAAACCATCAAATTACAAAAGATTTGTATTTATAAAGAAATTGAATTCATCAAATGAATATCTTTTTGACTAAAAAAAATATTTCATTTGTATGTGGACAAAATTAGTTAGCTAATGGGGGTTTTTATTCTCATTAGTATGCATAATGCAAATTACATGATTGTCTAATTCAATAGAGTAATTATCGATATGTAATCTAAGTCTAGTAGTTAGTTTTGTGACTTCTAACATCGACCTATATGATAATGATAATTTACAAGATTTAGGCAATATGCTTTCAGATCGAATGTTGAGTTATACAGAATTACACATCTTTTAAAGCTGGAAATCATGAAGATTTTTATTAGGTTATGTGTTTTAAAGCCAGTGATTATTGTTTTACTTGTGGTATATTATGCTTAGAAGTGTTTGTAAGCAAATTTATTGTATTATTATGTGATTTGTCATTGTCTGTAATTAGTTAAAGTAAATTTGTGAATAACTGCTCACTTTTAGATTGAAGGTTTTTTGCTACTGCAATACTAGTTCGAAAATATGATTAATTAAGTTGTAATTATGATAAGTTAATCACGTAAGTACTGGAATGATCTGTGTTTTTTTTCAAAGAAATGATAAAGTTGCACCGATTTTTTCATTGTAAGTTTGATGAATTTCTTTCAGTGTGATATTCTTAGAATAACCTAATAGGAATAGTGAGACAGGGGTGCTTAAATCAACATATAACATTAGTGCTTAAAAACTGTTGGACTACATCATATGTGTTTTTAGGGTGCACACAGATTATCCACTTCTGGTCCACCAGTTATTAGAGACTAGATAAAATGGCTCGAACTCGCAGTCCATGCTCATATACCGACAACCTAGACACATGATAATCAACGGTGTAGGAGTAGATTAGTAGCAAACTCGGAGTTATCAAACAATAAATAGGATAGCTCGAATTCTTTACCAGTAATGTAAGAGTATTCACTCTTTCACTTCACTCATATCCTTTGTTTGTGCAATTTTCATCCCACTGATTTCAATTTCCTGTTTCAGTTGTATCTCTTATGCGTAATCCTTCCTACTATCATCCATACTTTTACTATGTTATGAACTATGGAATTTGTGCAAACAATTTCATTTCCTTGTGTTAATGTAGTATAGGGAAATTAGATTGATGTATATGTGTGACAGGGTTTGCGTTACGTGTGACTGATTGTCTGAATTTCCTTTCTCTGATTTCATTCATGCCATTTTGTTGAGCTACGTTCAGTACAGTTAATTTGCTAAATGATTGTCCTACTACGCAATCCTGTTAAACTGAATCAAATAATAGTTGTTTCAATTATTAAGTATTTATAAATATCTGACAAACAATTATGGTGTCTACTACTGGCAATGTGGTTTGGTCGTAGTATACAATGGAATACCACCCTGAAGTTACTGCTAAAGAAAAGTATGTCGATTCCAGATATATGGCGCAATCATAGTATTTTGAAAAATAAAAGTCATGTAAAAAAAGACAACTAATAATCTGTTTGCTTTGCAAATAGAAGTGTGGAGATAGGGTGCACATATTTGCTAGTGATCTTTGTCTTCGTTAAATAAACTACTTATTCTGTCTGGTCTTAACATCTTTATTCAATATACAATTATTTGTTAGTCCTAATCATTAGAATAAATTTCACAGTTTTATTAAATTTTTAATCAAAGAAATTATTCTTCATATTCATATTCATGTATCCCATATCATTAGTTAGAAAATGTAAAATTCAGAGAAAAAAATCAAACTGAAATTTATTAATACTACTTACTCATTATACTAGCTAATTCTTGCCATCCATGTTGTGATAAACGATAGCAAATTATTCCTAATATATTCATTGGAATTGCAGTTATTGAGAGTTGTTCAAAATTATCTAAAATATGTATAAAAATATTGATTCATTATTTTTTGATAATAATAATAATTATTATTATTATTATTGTATTCAACTAGATACGAGTTACACAAATAAAAACTCTTTTTTTGAATTAAAATCTACAGTTTATGTCTTATTGAATTGGACAAGAAGTGTTTGATTTTTGAATTTCAGTAGAAAATTTTCAAATGTTTTTTATTTCAAAAATAAAATATCTCACAAATACAGTCTCAGCTCTACATGATGATGATGATGTCAAATCGATAATGAGAATTATTAAATCGAATAAAATTTATTTATTATATTGTGCTGTATTTTTTTTTAAAGATGGTCATAAATATTGAATACACTGTGAATAAGATTGGAAATAATCAACTTCATCTCATATATATAATGTATAATGTTTTTATTCTTCCATGTATAAATAGTAGCCGAAATGATTGACACACTTAGACTATATTGAAAATGACATAAAAGATTTTCTGTTTGATAGAAGAAATTCGAAAATAAACTAATGAATTTTAAACAATTTACTATAAACTTAGTGGTATTTTAATCTAAACACAGATTAGCAGAGTTAAGGCATCATTTTTATAACTGAAGAACATCTTGAACTCGAAACAACTGTTAATCAACATCAGAGTCAGAATTTTCAATATAAATATCAAAACAGTTCTACTGTATGGAGCGGAAATTTGGAGAACTACAGAAACCATCATCCACAAGATACATGTGTTTATTAAACGTTGTATACGCAAAATACTTTGATCCACTGGGCAGACACCATCACCAATAACCTACAGTAGGAAAGAATAAACCAATTTCCTGTCGTGGAAGAAAGTCGGAAAAAGCGTTGGAGATGGATAGGACACACACTATTACATAAAATTAAATTTACTCATTGAGTTATTTCAAAAAGTTTCCAGTTAGAAATTAAGTTGTTTACTGAAACGGTGAAATACCTCACACTACCAACTTCTGGTTCCCACTAATCTTCACAGTCGCTTATACATATGAGCTTATTATCACAATGTCTGAAGTCCATCACTAAAAAACCCTGTAATAATAGATGTATTTTAAAGAAAATTATTACCTCAGACTGGGTGTAGTTGCAGATTTTACATAGTTGGATTTTTATTTGGCGTCCTCCCAAGAACTGAAGTGCTATTTACTTGATTCCTTATGTTTAGATTACTGTGAAATCCTAAATCAATATGAAATATCAGTCGACTGATATTTTTTGGCATATCCATAAATATATCTGATACTAATATAGGTAATGGATATTAGCATTAGTGCTATTGAAACTTGGAAAACATAACAACAGAGCATCTTCAACATGAAACATTGCATTTAGATTAATTGATAATCAGAATGTTTATACAGTGGCATATCACTTAACATTCTATTCACAAGAGAAGATGAAAGATTCTAACCAAGCAACTGGCTAAACTTTTCGGAAAGGTAGCACAGATCTATAGTTCCCTATAGATCTATAATGATACTTATGTTTTGGTTATTCAGTAGCTTATATTAATGTACTAATCGACCCTTTTCCATCTGACAGTTATAACTTATATTGTGGTATGTGCTACTTATACGAACGATATAAGTAGTGTAAGAATGGACGTGAAAGAAGAAGTCTCACGGTCAGAAAAGGAAAACGGAAAGCAAATGGAGCAAAAGCAAGAAATAAATAGAGTACCGACAGGAAGTAAAGGAAGCCACAGCAGGAATGGAAGAAGTCTGGAGCGTTGGCAGTAAAGACTCTTCTGACCGTGAGACTTCTTCTTTCACGTCCATTCTTATACTACTTATATCGTTCGCATAAGTAGCACGCACCACAATATAACTTAAATCTTATAGGCTAATAACTATTTCCTTTCTTGATATCTTAGTTGGCTTTGCTTTATCAATCGTTTAATGTACATACAAATTATATTACTGTGCAAGTACGTAAATTAGGCCTAATCAACAGACATTTATTGTCTCTTTGCAGATTGTGTATGATTTCATCATTTAATTATTAAGTATCTTTTTCCAGTATCAATAGAAGTGTGGTTTTACATTCAAAGTTGTTGATGAACCAGTAAATCTATGTATTTGAAGAATGTTGCATGTTTTTTTCTAAAGAATAGGAGGATTTGTATAAATTATAGAATGTTCGTAGTTTATATCATGAACTGAGATGAGGAACTCCATACCCAGATAAAACAACTGTCTAATGCTCCCAATTTTTCAACTTCAGCTTAGCTATAATCAGTTCGTGGCTGAAGCTTTGGAAATTCAGTGACCTTCCTATGCTAACATAGTTTTTTTTTCTATTGATTTCAAAACTAAATTCACAATGAATAGAGTGAACATTAAAGAATGATCACAAAAAAAAAATTATAACTTACTCAATGAATTATTTGAATGATCCGATTTCTCAAGTAATGGTGCTTTTTCATGGCCAACAATGATATCACTATATTGAAGGTGATTATTAAAATTATTATTATCAGGTGTTGAATTAACAATGTTATTCATTTCTGTTATAGACTGAGGTGAATGATTTGGTAAATTTGCATTATTATTATTATTATTTATGAAACCGGATGAAATTCTTTGATGTTGTAAATGATTATTATTGTCCAGACAAGATGTTCTATCTAATAGATCAATTTTATGCGTATTGTATGAATCAGTTAATTTGGCATTTTTTGACGCTTTTCTTTGTCGCCATAATTTGTATACAACATAACATAGCAATGAAATAATTATTAAACCCATAATAGAACAATAAATTGGTAACATTTGATTTGATTTGTTACTATTCTCTGATGATAAATCTTCTTGATTGTATGCTGTATAGTCTGTTATGTAGAAAAAAGAAAACGATGAATAAATTAATAGATTGACATGAGCACTAAAATATTCAATGATATTAAATCAAACTTATTATTTCATATTTTATACTACTCATATGTAATTGTTTAAAATGCTTAAAATCATTCAATGTGTGATTGTTTTTATTTTGGGGGATGGCTATCAAATACAATGGCAGATGATTGTGCGATGTAGGTGAATTCACTGAAGCAATCTATTCCATACACGCTCAGTAGTTTAAAAACTAATTTAGTGAGAGAGTACAAATATTCAGTAGATATTTGTGTTTCTTGTTTGAGATGAAGTTGCAAATAAAAGTCTATATTTCCCCATTGTTGATAGTCAGAAGTTTATTTGATCAGTACACTAATTAATTAAATATCCATTACCGATATTATTATTATATTATGACTATCGATCACTGACTACGTTCACTTCATAAAACACCATTCGGAATACATTCCTGTGTTAATAACCTTGACAGGACAGCTAATTTCTTATCGGTTCACGGTTCTATCTCATCCTTCTGCCTTACTCTTATTCTTGGGTCAAGAAATCAAACCAGCCTGCATTATATTTATATTTCAAACTGAAGTAGTTTAAATACAAGCAGATCAAGGCTGGATCACACCATATAATCCAGCCAAAAGATAGCTGATTTCTCAATCTAATATCACAAATTTCCGTAAGATATCTTAGTTTTTCCATGGAAATTGTTTTCTTCTATGACTTATTGAAGAAATGTCATCCAATTTTATATGTACATTCTTGGTAAGAATATTTTTACAGTGACAGAAGAACTAGAAGATATCATCTTAGTTATCATAACATTATAACATTGAAGTATCAATTGTAAAATAAAAGGCATAAAATAATCTAATAAGTGCCAAATCAACCATCTACCACCAGTTTTTGCTGAATACGCATTTAAAAATATAACAATAAAATGGATTTCAGATAAATATAACTATAGATTCTATCAATAATCTGTATGAACTTTTAATGTCAAGTATAATGTACATAGAAATGTCGGAAAATATTTCTTTTGCATATTAATTTTGAATGAGTGGATTTTCTTTTACACTCCTAATTTATTTCACTGTATAGTTTGATTAAAAACTGGTCCATTGATACATTGAACGAATAATAATAATTATTATTATAATAATTTAGATCAGTTAAATTGTTAACTTCAAATACACTTTGTTATTCATAATTAATTATCAAAGAATATGTGTTCAGAGTATCTTTATGTTTAAATTGTTTTTTCATTAGCTGGAAAATTAACGAAAACACAATAAATATATAAATATAATTCTTTATAATCTGTTGATCATATTGTAAACTTGATCGATAAAATTCAACAAGATATCAGAATCAAACCGATTGAAAGTGATTATTTCTCGATCGTTGGTTGATTGATCAATGTGACAATGAATAAATAAGATTAGTTTTTTTGTTTGTGCAAAATTATCACAGTAAATTATCAACAATAATAACAATAATAATAATGATAATCATAAATCAATAGATAGAATAGAACTAATTTATCAACTCTCAACAAATATTCATTCCTATTTACAAATAATTCAATAGTGAATAAATAATGAATGATGAGAAAAAATGTTTTTTTTCTTCTGATTATTTTTATTTAACTAAATGAAAACCTATGAGCTGATGATAATGATGAAGTATAAAATATGAATATGAATAATAATCATAATAAGAAGAGGAAATGAAGAAAAATAAAGAAAGAAAATAAGTGTTTTTCTATATATTCCAATGTCGTGATACTAAAAAAAAAAAACAATGTATGCAGATTGGATTTTTACTTTTCTTAAAAATAACTACAAAAAACATCACCTCACCCAAAAAGATATGTATGCGGCGTGTGAAAACATTTAGAGAAAAGAACAAAGCAATAGCTAGCTATATATATATATATATCATATATGTATGGATGTATATAAAAACAGATAAAAAGACAAGTCAATATACTTTGTAGAGGAATTAATTAATCATTTCTCTCTTTGTTTGTTTGTTTTTCTTATGGAAAACATTATTCTTCACATACAGGATATCAATTTGTTCTTTCTATCTTTTTTTGTAATGTTTTTTTTTATTCAATGAATACAAAAACGATAATAATAATAATAATAATAACATACTACAACATAAGTAAACAAAAATAACAATGTGATAAAGAAATGTGTGCGTTGAAATTTTCTAAACATTTTTTTTCAAAAAAAAACAAAACTGAAATTCATGAGTCAGTCTCTTATAAAAATATATATAAACATAAACACCATAAATTAGTCTCGGTTTATAGGCCAATATTCTTTTGTATAGATGTAACTACTATTCAGTGAGATTAGGTTAGTTTATTTGGTTATATTTTTCAGTGATAGACAATAAAACTAGGTGAAAGGTTAAGTATGTTAGGAATATACATGCCGATGCACATGTTAGATTAAAAAATTGCTTAATAATAATAATAGCTCGTTCTCTTATCTTATAAAATATTACAGATAAAAATGGAAAGAAATTCATATATGAATTATTTTGAAAATATTGATAAAGGCTTCAGGTAGAAAGTATATAATCTGTTGTAATGATAACTGTAACTAGACAAATGAAATGAATTTAAATGAAATAACAAGTATTAGAATTCTATTATTAACATCAACTGAGTACCTATTGATTATGAAGTAAAAATGGTCCAACACCTTTGTACTTGTTTTGTACTCAAAAATATTAGGAACTTGTGACTCAAATCATAAAACTTTAGGTTTGTTTTTTAATGAATACCAAATTTATAAGACTACTTATATAGTAGTTTGTAAATTTCCATCTCGTTCATATTATAGTACAAGTGGATGATTATTTCATACCTTAAGTCCAAACTATTTGAATATCACCAATCACGACATTGTACCATGATTTATTTTAATTTATCTTGAAGTGATTCACAAGTTGGTTTACTAAAAAAGTTGATATTACCTGTGTTTCCCTTTCATTGGCTATCTGTTTATTTACTAATAATTTGTCAGTGATAATTGTATTTTAATGTGTGTTATTTTTTATCTAACTGTTTCAAATTAGTTAATATTTATCAATCCTCAAACCAGAAAAAAAAATATATTTCTCTGTTATATTACTTTTTTTTAATTTCCCAACTAATCATTATCGTAAATAATGAATTCAACTAATCTTTTCTCCGTTTATTTTGTTAAGAAATAAATACAGTTAGTGATAAACAAGTGTTGATTATTCAATTTTAAATTTCTCATATTTCAATTTTAATGACTAATTACTTTATATTTTATTTATATTTCGCTTGTTCTTACTAGTTTTAACTTTCAAAGTTATTAATTTGAAATTTCCACATATTGAATTCAAACTGGTATTTATTGGTATTTCATTATCAACATTCGTGGAATTGAGAATTTAAACAAAAAAAATAGGTAATCTAATATATAAATATAAATATATACGTTTCATCTTAGTTGAATTGAGTTTTGTTATATTATAACGCATTAATACATCTCAAGTTATTTTTTATTTTTTGGTTAACATAAAAAATTTTGAACTATTTCAAGGACTTATATTCTTAGCGTATTCAACAGTCGCTATTCAAACGATATTTTTTATGTTGAGTTTATATTTTCAATAGATGGAAATGTTTTTTTCAATAGTAAAATAACCTATAAATTGTTGTTTTTTTTGTGTGTGTTTTTAAACAATGAAAATATTTAAACATACTTATCATATATATATATATATATATATGATTTTATCAAATGAGATTAAAGATAATAATACATGTGCTCTCCTTAATGGATAAAGTTTTTGCGTACAGTTACAGTTTGAATATGTTGTGTATGAGTAATAGTAGAAGTAGAGTAGTAGTTAGGTGCTGGATATATGAGTTGCATGCATATGACAAAGCACTCGATATGTAAAATCTTAATCCAGTCCTAATAAAAGATTAACATGTAATTACAATAAGAGTTGCTTTTCGTTCTACACAAATTACTTGTAAATTATGTACAGTCTAATTAATGGTAAAACAATAATCATATAAATAATACATCATATCAATATAGTATTGTATATTATTACTATTATTATTATTATTATTATAAATATAACTATGAGATATTCTAATCAAAAAGTTTGTTCCTATCATTTTCAGTGTAAAATGTTCAGATAGATAAACAAATCACAACTTAAATTGAATATTATCAATTAGAAAGAGAAAATCTAAACACAAACAGAAAGTAATCGACTATCTAGTTAAGTATAAGTATAAAAAGAAAGTATCCCTTATATGTTTGGGAAAAATAGAATATAATCAAAAATAATATAATAGAATTTCACATACAATAAAACCATGACTAATATTATTCATAATGTTCTTTCAGGGTTGTTAAGTGTTTTTAATGTGATGTAATATTCACTAAACATTTCATTTTATTCTGTGGCTTTAACTGTTATTTTGTTTTTCATTCAGATTATTGGATTAGGTAGGCTACACTGCATAGAATAAGCAATTGAAGATAACTTCAAATGATTATTTCTGTTGGTTCAATTCTTGACGAGATACTGGGTATATAGTATTCAAAAACTCTAAAATATGATGAAAGTTATTCAGTATTTATAACCGCTAAATAGTTTTCTAGTTAACATTTATTCGCCATGTAAATTATCTTCACATAAGAAGTTGTATTTTCCAAGCCGTATATATTTAATATATATATATACTCGATGAGAATAGTGATATTATCCTTTTGACGAACATACACAGATAGATATAAAATAGTTTTGCTGACCTTATTTTCCAATATCAATAATGTCCATTTAAACCTACTTATCTGTTTAAATACGTGTTCCAATCTTTCATGGACTATAATACAGAGTCACAATGACTATTAATTATCACTGATATGTTGGTCAGAGAGCTACAAAGAGATACCAAGAGGGATTA